ATTCCTCCTCTGAAGGTAAATTCCTCCTGCAAAAGGGAAAACAGGACTGTAAAGATTTCAACAGTCGTCAAGTGCAAGCCAGGAAGCTAGCCTCTAAAACTAAACCGTGCGTGTCACTCAATATCTGATTTCAACATAATGATTATCTGACAGCCAGTACACAGTGAGCACAGGATGATGAAAGAGAAGATCTACAAGGTCCGCGAGGAAACCTAATGTGCATTTTATGCACTCGCACTCAAACATTGTGCATTATATGCTCAGCTGAGCAAAGAAAACGGGAAATGCTAACTTTTAACAATAAGAACTAAGTTTTAGAAGAAATGATTTTCTGTCAACTATATATAATATACTAAATAACTAGATTACGTACTGAGGAAAGTAAATGTTTACAAGCGCAACGGAGACACTATCTCAACTCCAGTTACTGCATGGCTAGGCTGTGTCATCAACTCAACTCTACATAACTACAACCAACACTCCCAAACAAATCAGTTTTAACTTTCAACTCCCCAGTTAAACCTGGAAAAGAAGAAGAATCTTCACTACATTCCTCCAAGAAGAAGAATCTTCACTACATTCCTGCCAGATGATCTACAAGGGAACCAGAGCTGGATTACACGCCAGACACGCACATAATACAACACATATTGGTATGTACAGCCTCCTTATAAGGCTAACAGTGGCCTGCAGAGTAGGGTTACGATACATGTGTTGACAGAAAGGACTGACCAATCAGTGAGCAGTACAGAGTGCTGACAACCAATCAGCGTGCAGAGCGGTGGGGTAGGAATGTCAGGGATATGTCGAGGAGAAGCGGGTGGTTTGTCAAGCGCAACCCTGGTGTGGGACTGAAGATGGGAATTGGGGTGAAGTGGACACATACCCGGTTCTGGGTGCTCAGTGCCCGGTTCTGCGGGTTCAATGCCGCTGTTCAGTGTTAAGGACCCGGCATGTTTCCCATGTTTGATGAGTTGTGATTAGCGCAACATGGTTCAGAGGTGACGAGGGAAATGTGCGGAAAACAATGTGGAGTTCATTACGTTATAGAACCAGGAAATTAGGGGTTATCAATTAAGTGGGTGTCAATTAGTAAAGCTCATCATGTTGACGTGTCCAGGGATTAGTTGGTAGTTACTGATTATATGGAAACAAGCCATAAAACCATGCAGTGAGCTGGTTTCAAACCGGAACAACAACTGTATTTGTATGATATCTTAATGGAGAGGAGGGGGTGAGGAGAGGGGGAGGAGAGGGGAGGAGGGGTGAGGAGAGGGGAGGAGGTGGGTAAAAATACGAGCTTGGCCCAACAACCTCTCGTTCAACGAACAGCAAACGTAGAACAATAGAGGGTATGAGACCGATTCGGGTACGAATATTCAAAGCCAGAAAAGCGATTGTGCAAGAAACTTATAGGGTTGCATGAAAGAAAATTTAAGAAAAATCTTATTAAAACTGCTAAGTGACCTATGATGATGAAACGAGCACAAAAAGCACTTGATGTGGCTCGTTCTGTAAGATAAAGACATCTAACTACAAAATAATTATTTTGAGCTCTAATTACGATATATTTAAAGTTTATCTTAAGAGTTAAAAAGCGACCCCCCAGGAAGGGATGAATAGAAATGCCTACAGTTTACCATGTACACGTAACACTGTATAATAACACTGTATATAACACTGTATAATATATCACATGATAAGACTGCAGAACGTAACATTGAGTAGAGTTCAGTGTGTCTCACGCAATCCATTAGTACTTTTTGAAGAGTAAGAGGGGGGATGTCAGGGGGGGGGGGGGGGGACAACGTGTAAGTTCGGACCTTATTAAGAGAGCTGGGGAAGATGTTTTGAAATGTGGATAAGAACTGCTATTGAAAAATAACCTAAAAAGGAATATCTGTAATCTGTTTACGGGAAAATGTCAAATATTAAATTTAAAAGCCCCCCCCCCCCCCCCGGCCCCCAGTAGAACTAGAATATGTTTTTCTGTATTTCTGTAACGTGATATTTGTGAGGTTCTGCCCACATGTCTACTGCTGCATGATCACCTGTTACTGGTTGAAAGCAGATTCTCTCATTATTACCGCACCATATTATATAGATCTTACTATATACATATTATATATGTATGATGCAAGGTGACATTATTATATACACTCTTCTACTATTGAATGAAGTGCAGCACCCACAAATATTCAAAGTATTTGAACAATACACGTGCAGATTCTAATTACGCCCCAACAAAAGGGTGGCTGCACACAAGCTTACAAAATCAACTGTTAGAATAAAGGAACTATTCATTAACCCAAATATGTACTAACATCCTATAACAAGGCGAGCTGCACGACCTATAAATAGATACAGAATCCTGTCACGTGCGTTACCTAGGACACATCTGATTGGGTGGGAAAATCACGTGGGTTGTCATAGTGAAACCTGATTGGTTAAAACGTCACGTGATTGATATCCGGTCTTGTTATAGGGTGATGTAAGGGACAACTCCGTTACAAACTAATCTAGACAGAAGGGGTGGGACTGATTGAGACGAGGCCAGGTTTGTTCTCTTGACCTCATCATGAAGTAAAAGTTTCTTACTGACCAATAGGAGGCTCTTATCAACACCACGTGATCAACTAACAAGAGCCCCTGTTTCCATCGCAGTATTTTGACACACATTAACATTTAACATATTATATTATATTATATTATATTATACTACAATATGTATAATATGAAATGTACACAACTGACTAGAGCGAATATATGGACCAAATCACAAGATCGGAGCTTATTTCAGCCTATTTCAATGACAACCAAGCTGAATTGTTAGAAATCAAAGTTAAAAATCAAAAGTATTAGCCTTAAGAAGCAACAGTAAGGAACAAAAGTAAGGAGCAACATTAAGGAGCAACATTAAGGAGCAACATTAAGAAACAAAAGTAAGGAGCAACATTAAGGAGCAACATTAAGAAACAAAAGTAAGGAGCAACATTAAGGAGCAAAAGTAAGAAGCAACATTAAGAAACAAAAGTAAGGAGCAACATTAAGGAGCAACATTAAGAAACAAAAGTAAGGAGCAACATTAAGGAGCAACATTAAGAAACAAAAGTAAGGAGCAACATTAAGGAGCAAAAGTAAGAAGCAACATTAAGAAACAAAAGTAAGAAGCAACAGTAAGGAGCAACATTAAGGAGCAACATTAAGGAGCAACATTAAGGAGCAACATTAAGAAGCAACATTAAGGAGCAACATTAAGGAGCAAGACAATGGTTTGAAAAGTAGCTAACTACTTACTACACACTTATTCCTTAAATACAACGTTAACTGCTCTCAATTTGAAACCTGACACCTTTTGTAATGTACTTTGCAATGTTTTCTGTACTACTATCCTGTAGTACAAAGTTCCTGTATCAGGCTATTGGCTTCAGATTAGTGGTACATAAGAGCCCTCATGTTATGTAGATAAGATGTGGAGTGTGGACTAGCTATACTAAAGTTAGTTTAAATACTAACTACCTGGTTAAAACCTGTCCTGGATACCAACATATAAAAACTCAATAAATGTACTTATTAGCAGTTGTGAAGCTAGTTACTTAAGTCTGTGAGAGGGGACCATTTAGTTCAAGAAAACAACAATTCTCTTTAACTGCACGATCTTACGTTATAGGGTATTACAATTACTACAATTAAGTTGTAATTTAATCGTAAAATTCGAACTAAAGGAAAATAGAAGCTGCAGATATTTCGATATGGTTTTTATTAGGTACTTGATTTAATTATTTATAGAATTCTTCTCTTGATTCATTTAATTTTTGTTGCTGCCCTATCAGGATGTAATATTACCGCTGTTTCATCTTTTATTAAGAACGTATGTCGCTACTTATCGAGATGTGGTACAAGTGGAAAGTAATCCAATAATAACACTAGTTCTCTGTCACGTACAACTAATGTATTGTTACTGTTTTTCTAGTTACTTTATGATTAATAACCAAGACACTTCGAGCTAGGGGGGCTATGGAGTTAAGAAGAGCTCAGCACGGGTGCAAGATGTGGACGCAATATCCACAATCATATTTATATGGCCAAATGCTCATTTTAATATGACTAAGTGACTTTTTGTAGCAAACATTTGAGTAACATCTCTGTTGATACCTTCATCTTTAATATCAATATCAGAGTGCCAATCTCAACAACAAATCTGACGTAAACTAAACACAAACAGTATCCAAACACTTGCACTAAACAGTTATTAACAGTATAAATATATAATATAACAAATATTATACTATAATGATATATGCTATAATAAATTATAAAATGACTCACCATTATTTGACTTGTGGTTGTTATTCACATAGCTGCTCAGGTATTCTTGTCTCTCCACCTGTCTCAAGCTTCATTCCATCATCTCTACTTAGACGTTATAGTGTTAGTTTCATCACACAAACGTCACACAAATATATCACACATATCACAATTGGTGAATTGTAGATTGTGTGGGTGTGTTATATTATGTGTGATATTATGATAATATGTGTGATATATGTGTGATATATGATACACATATGACAGTTTTGTGATCTACTAAGGATGCATAATGATTGCATAATGAACTGATATATACCTGTAGTCCTGTGGTCCTGTTATGTGTATTATAAGGAGTGTAATGTGTAATATAAAGTACTATAACGTTGTTAATGTTCAAGTTCTATTTCGAATTCAATTAAGAATGAACATTACGTGAAATATGAGCCTCCACTTAGAATGACTGAAAGTTCATAACTATAATAGCCACGTAGTATACACTCCTTATATGGGCATCACGTGTAGTATACACTCCTTATATGGGCATCACGTGTAGTATACACTCCTTATATGGGCATCACGTGTAGTACACACTCCTTATATGGGCATCACGTGTAGTATACACTCCTTATATGGGCATCACGTTGTATTTATGTGTGGGAAGTGCATCAGACTAATAATAACTACACTAGTTATATGTAAATCACCTTTATCAAAATATCATTATCAGCAATTTTATGGAGATTTCACATCACTCAAAATCTGTATAAACTATTCATAAGAAATTACAATAAATTATAATAAATTACCTTTCCAAGTAACGACCTCTATAGTAAACAAAAGATGTTTTTTGAAACAAAGTTACTTAACTCAGTTACTAAAGTTACACAAAGTTACTAAACTCAGTTACTAAAGTTACACAAAGTTACTAAACTCAGTACAACCCTCCCCTTATAAACAAGACACAATTACACAATTTAATGTGCGCAAATAAAACTAAAACATTAAACAAGAGCTGTCATCACTGTGATTATAATAAATTAACTAAGCTTTGTCACGGAGCCATAACTCAACCTGATACAAAATCCAACTAATTACCTAATTACCGACTAATTACCTAATTGGTTAACCACCCAATTAGTAATTTCTCTCACTCGTACCCAATAAAACCGGGCTCCACAGACTCTGTCCTGGCAGGTAAATGTTCCCAGTGCGGGTTGCCAGGTTGGTAGTGTATGTTACCGGGGAGATGCCTGTAACTCTGGTGGTATCTGAGGGGAGGGAGTTAGAATATTAAGTATTATTAAACATGCAACATAGTGGCACTAGAAATTAGCTGTACAATAGAAACGTATAGTTGGTACTCAAGAGTGGAGTGTCTCGTCAAACATAGCAATATAGTTAATAGTTTATGTACTATTTTTACAGTTCACTACAATGTAGATTTACTGAAGGGGTACCATAGTAAGATTCTTGATCTTTTAGCAGTTACCACTTCTCATTTAACCCTAAATCAAGTTTCCTATCATTCGGCTGAGTCGACCGACGAGATCGCATAAAGTGGGGTGTTTCCTCTAACAAACATAGCAATACTCAGTTAGATAACACTGGACTAATTACCTAATTAACCTAATTACTAATTACCTGATAGGTTAAATATTATACAATATATTATTTTATAGTGATTTACAGAACTCACCTCTCTCTATGTCCATAGAGTTCTGACCTGTCTCTACCGTACACATCAGCTGAACTCCAATTAAACTTCCGGGGAGGGATCCTGAAAATACACATGTGTAATTTTACTTGTTATACACAATTCTGCAGATTACGTTTCTCTTAGTGCACTAACTATATTGTGATTCTTGAGAATCTGTGGTTTGTAAAGGCAAGAAGTATGTTAATGTGCAACCAAGGGTCGACCGAGTCCTCGGCCAAAAAAGTCATCCTTTAGTTCGGCCTCTGCCAAAAGTAGTCCCTCGGTCGACCTCTGTGTAAAAACTAACATTTCATCATTATATAACATTTGATACAGGATAAAACAGGTGATAATACTAACGGTGGTTTGAGATATCCCATGCTCTGAGCCCGGTACACTGCTTCCTCTAACACATGCTGCTTGTACCAACACACTCCTGTCACTGTCACTGGTATCACTCTGGGCAGGAACAATTGTTAGTGATTTGAGAGTTCCTGAATTTAAGGAGTCTCACGTTTAAAAAGTGATGATAAGGTATTTCAAGGTGTTATTTAGCATACAATATTGTAACTTTTAAATCCATTACATTGAACATTTTCAGCTCAGATAAATTGGTGATAAATATGAAACTTATTTTAAATTCTGTGTCATTGATCCACTCACTGGTTAGTTTCAGGGTTGATATACTTCTTAATCCTCTCCACATCAGTGTACATGGGATACCAGTGGTCCTTGCAAATGGTACACGCGCTGCCGTTGTATTTCCGTTTTGCTGGCTGGTAGCACGAGCGACGCGGAATGTTGAACGCAAAGTTATCATGTTTAGAGTGACCTGCACAGTGGTTACAATAGCAGGGAAAAGAGGCACATTGTTCTGAATAGAAAAGCAATTAATTCATTTAACCTGTTTTAAGATATTTGAGATTTTATTAAATAGAAATTAATGGTACAGTAAAACCCCGATTTACCGAGAAGCCCTATTTGGGGGAAAGGAGATGGCCGCGGTATATCGGGGTTTGTGGTAAATCGGGCGCAGGAAATCAGGGATTTACTGTATATTGATAATTAAATATTTCAAGCAACAAACCTGGTCTCGCACGCTTGTAGCCCCACCAAGGCATCTTCTCTGACTGAGCTTTCCTCTCAACAACCAAGTCTTTTTCTATGTCGTCAACCTGAATTATACAGTACATAGTATTACCACTGTAAAAAAACGTTATGAACCAACAATGGATACCATTACTCTTAGTAATATTTGTCTTTCACTTGGGCCAATGTAGTATTAAGGTGCATTAATTGACATAAATAATGCCATGAGTATGGAGACACACTGCAGGTTCACCAAATCAGAGGATACAAGAAAACAAACAATTCAAGAAACTGACCCGCTTGGTAAGTGTCTTTTCAACAAGAACCCCTCGAAATGAAGTCACAGTGTTTTTCTCTTTCAGCCTGTCTCCCAGAAGCTTCAGCTGTGTCTTCATCACCTCATGTTCATTCTTCAGCTTTTCTAGTTTTTCTGTTTTGCTGCCGCCCTCTTTTTCATGCCACTCTGGCGTCCTTGCTCTTCTCTGTAAAGTCACTTTGCTTCTGACTATTAGACTGCCACAAGGAGAGAGGATTGGTGTGATTAAGCGATTCATTTCCTATTGAGTTGCAAAGGGTTACTAGGGAAAATTGAATGCTTGTATTCAGTTGTAAATGACTTTAATAAATTTATTCAATAAAACAATAAGTTTTCAATGAAATAATAAAAAATTGTTCAAAATGATGAATATATGATTGGTATTTTGGCTGATTTTGGTGAGACAGGGCCAGTTTCGGCACATTTTATTACGAAATTGAAACGAATTATGGCCTTTCACTTTTGTCTCCCGTCAATGAAATTGAGCTCATTATTGAATCACAACAACATGATGTGTACTGCAAACAATATCAAGTTGAGGTGGATTAAATAGCTAGACCCCGGCTAGTGCCTCCACTCCAAAGGGGTGAGCTAAGGACATGCAGTTGATTCAAGCTCCTGAACTCTGAAGTCGGCTCAGAAGAAACATCCGGAAAATCGTCATCAAGTGCCGGTTGCATAGGTTAAGTAAAGTCAAGATTTTTAGACTGTAAAAAGTATTCAAACAATAAATACATAATATCACAATGACCCTATTTGAAATCAAACCTTTAACAAGAATTTTGCCGCGGTTAAACCACGCACGATCACTTTTCCCTACCATGTACTTGTACCATTAATTCTAATAATTAATTTAGTAGTAGTAGTAGTAGTAGTTGACGGAAGCTTCTAAGCTTTCCGTAGTGCCCCCAACCTGCTTTCAGATTTGGTGGTCATATATGTAGACCAGCTTGCCACCGGACATCCCTGGTCGGCGGGCCGCCAGTGGCACCTGTGCGTAATAATATGCCGTACGGGTAATAGACCCCGGTTTGGCTACTCTGTTATTCAGCGTGAGTGGCCGACCCCACAACGCCGCACCACAGCTGCCCGCACACACTCGCAGACCGCTATGTAGCGGTGCTGACGGAGCACCAGTGGCGTAACAAAGGGCCCTGCTGACCCCGCTGTGCAGGGGGGCGCCGTCTTAGGGGGGCGCCAAATCCTCGTTTGAATTTGGGACAATTTCGAAAACTTAACTAAAGTACTAGCATAACTTTGCGAAGGAGGAATTTCACTGTAATTAATTAACACATGGCCAGCGTCGCGCGTAGCATAACAGACGCTTCCTATACACATAATTATAGGGGAGTGGTCTATATTGCGAAGGAGCAGACTTTTGTCATCAACGCAGGTCCGTAGGGCCACCTCATATATCCAAACCCGATTACTTATTCCCTAGACGATCTTTTTGCCTACGGCAACAGTAGGGGAAAAAATTCAGTATATTCCCCATCTAATATATTGGTGTTAATAACTTGAATAGCTTGAAAACCTCACATAAGTCGTTTTATGAGCAAATCTTTGCTGATTGGGTACCTAACAGAGCTGCTTATTAGTTAGCATGCAGCTGATTGGGTACCTAACAGAGCTGCTTATTAGTTAGCATGCAGCTGAGCGTCGATCACTTAATCAATTGATGAGGTGATCAGCTGATCCCACGGCATAAATGTCAGTTCTGTTCTAAATTCTGGACAACATCCACTAATTTTAAACGGTGAAATATGCTCAGCATCAGCTTTATAGTATATAAGCTCTTTAAGCGATAATATATAAGCTCTTTAAATAATACAACCATTGCTTATTCTAGCAGTCAAATGAACAAGTTCCTGACGATTTTTGTTTTGATTTTGAAGCATCATAGTATGGTATTTGAAAAAGTTTAAAATTGTTAAGTTCAAAGTAGAATATGGGGCAAATTATAAACAAAAGTCTATTTTATTTTCTCAGACTCACTGTTGATGTAAAATCCGGATTGGAGTATTATTTATGAGTCGCATTGTTGTAATGTATTCTGGATAAAATTATCTTTATCCCGGTTGTTGCGACAAGTAAAAATGCTCTTATTAGGGAAAGGAGATTACTCGACGTTTCAATGTAACTACATCGTATTCATGATCTCAAATTATTTGTTATACAGTAGTGTTGAAAGTATTTACTTTTCACAACATCCGGGATAAAGATAATTTTAACCAGAATACACTCACTGTTGACTTAACAAATACATTTTTTTTCAAACAATATACACATAATATAGCAATGACCCTATATAAAAATTCTTTAAAAATGGTACCCTTTGTAACAATATATAACAAATTCACATCACAACAAAAAGCAGTTTAGGCCCCTATCCAACAAGCACTCCATGACCTTTTAGGGTTTAGGAGTGTTGATCAGGTTAAGGTCCAAATCACTTATTGCCGTAGGTGGAAGAGTTCTGGTACCTCTGTACCCCCTGATAGAGTCTATTTAATGCCATTTTGGTACACCCTATGGAATACTCAATTTCATCATGGACCATGTATATGTGTGTTTATATTTGCTTGTTTAAAGGGCTGTTTATTTTAGGCTGTAACCTTATTAGTTCAATGGAATAAACCTAGCATGCTTTGGTTGCAGCATCGCAACGATGTAATTGCTATGATCACTTTACTGGTCAACTGGTGTTTCGGTGTCCCTAATTTTGTTTACACTCGGTCACTTGTCAAGGCATGTAAGGTCATTCGGCGAGATTTTCTTTGAAATAAAATGATGTATTTATATAACAATTTGAAAGTTTATTGATTTAAAAAAATTTCAGTTGGTAGCAATGGACCATTTTTGTAGGTTTATAACTTTGTCATTTGTATCACGTCGTGACACCACTGTCGTTCATTATACCAAGACGCGCGCCGAGTTGGACTCGTCGACGGTCTTGAAACAAATATTTTACGATTCCCACCTGTTGAGACCATTTCTGTTACCCATGCGCGCGCCACGGGCCAAGGGCTCTGGATAGAGCAATTACCCGTGTATTTGGTATTGTGCTGATCTGGTAATTGCAACACTTGAATTGACTGTGCTCCGCGCCAATTGCTTACCTGAGGACATCAGGCTATCATGTTTATAAACATTGCATATGAACAGAGATTCGGCGGAATGACAGGCAGAGCGCGGCCTAGTAAGATTCAACAAGAAGCTCGAAAACTAGAACGCCGCGGCGGGAACCGAGCGATCGAGAGAATTGCAAGCTATGTATATAATATTAGTAGGTATTACGCTATAAAGTTACTATTTCATTTGTAGCGCAATGCGTTACTGGTTACTTGTTACTGTGCCGCGCGCCGCTCTCTCAATGAGGCTTCTCGCATGCAGCTAAATTGGCAAAATGCGCTCCTGTGCCAGTGTGCCTAGGGGGTGCACGATAAAAATAAACTTGCTCGGATTTTTAAAATTTTTGTACCACTGTTTTCTAGAGACTGTGAGAATTTTCACAATACCAAATTTGTCATACCTTTTTGGAAAGATCAGTGAGTTTCGCCTAGGTGCCATATTTGATGGTGCGCGGCTTTTGGAGCAAAAGTAGCTGTAAAAGTCGCGTAATTTGACCAAATTCGTCCAAATTTGACCATTTTTGTCGAATTATTCAGATTTATATTCAGTTCCTTAAATGAGATTTGCTCTAACCAGAGCCCTCTCGCTTGCAGTAGCGCAACAAGCGCGTCACGCAGTACGCGTAGGCACATGGCTATGTGAAAATGAGATCATTCTGAAAATTGGCGACGAACTTTCAAAAGGGCTTTCACAACTGTCCGAAAAATTTGGTGGATATCGGAGTTGATATAGAGATCAAAATGGGGCAAAATACGCTGCTTTTAGCTGTAACATAATGTTTGATGGTTGGATATGCTTTAAATTTTTCGGACACTTTCCTTGTCAGTCTATGAGTAAGCTTACCAATTTTTGTTGCAATTGGAGGTCGAGAAGGATACTCAATATCTATTTATTTGAAGAAAATTGTGCTGGCCGAAATTAGCGCTAAAAAACCATCATACAGTCGGCACGCGCGGCTCACTGTCGATGGCGCACTACCTAGTGTGCCTCGCCGAGCTGCGATGAATTGACATCGTCAATTAACTATTTCATTTTCACATATTTTTTCTATTGAAATTGTAAAAAGCGGTTCACGTTTGCATGCATTCCATCCCAAAAAACCTTACCATCTGTCGGGCTCGCTAGAGGTGATCGATATTCAACAGCGCGTTTGTCCTCGCGCGTTACATAAAGTTCACCTTGCGCACTTTGTATTTAGCCTAGTACTAATAGTTATGACAACCACTATCATATTTTACCTCTAAGTTATTATATTCATAGACATGTCTGAGTGGTTATGTTTTGTTGTTTCACACTCACTCATTCCCTTAGCATGTAAATACAACAAGGATGTAAATATAGAGGATTCAGGTGAACGGAACGAGAGCTAACCCTGAAGGGCAGGTAGTGTAATGTTTAGCTTATTTTGGTTTCTATGTAGTAGTTTCAGTTTCTTTGTAGTAGTTCCTTTAGTCCTAGGTTTGTAGTTTTGGTGTTACTACTTTCTAACATACTTTCTTATATTTACAGGGTTGTTTTTAGTTCTAGTGAGTGTCTGCTGCTGTAAGAGTGAAAGCCAGACAAGTCAAGTTCCAGTGTGTGTGTGTGTCACGGGGACCACACAGAAGAACCTAAAGAGAAGATCTAGTGTTTGTGAGTAAGGGAATATCACAACACGTTCACATCACTTCTGGGGAAGTGATAGAAGAATTAGTTTCTAAGAAGTTAGAAGAAGTTAGAAGAAGTAGTTTATAAGAAGTTTGAACTGTTATTAAGAAGGATTTACAGTTTTGGGAAGATTTGTTTGTAATCACATTACCACACCACTCACGAGGTTAAGTGAGTGAGAGTTGTGTTTGAGGTCTGTTGAGTAACGTGCAGTGATAGTGAGTGCAGCGTTAGTGTGCTAACCCATTACCAATTTGTTAACAATTCATTTACTAACCCATTTAACCAATTGTTACCAAATTTAGTTACTAACCCAAATTACAACTTGTTTTACTTTGTCTCCCGTGATTGATCAGAACATACAATTTAACAGTGGTAGCAGGAAGGAACGATTAGATCAATCATGGGGGAAGACAAAGTCCCTAGGTTAACAGATACAACGTGTTATGGGGATTGGAAGAGAAGGGTTACTGTATGGGAAGTCTCAACGAGCACAACTAAGAACAAGAGAGCAGCTACCCTTATAACGTGTATGAGCGGTAGACCAGAGCAGGCTGCTATCCAACTCAAAATCGACGATTTGAAAGGAGAAGATGGAGTAAAGAAACTGATAGCAGAAATGGACAAACTGTTCCTACCAGACAATACCCAGCAAGTGTTTAACGCTTTGGATGCTTTTTTGGAGTATAAAAGACCAGCTGATCTATCTATGGAAGATTACTGCAGGGAGTTTCACTACAAGAAGAAAATAGCAGAACAGATGAGCGACAAGACAGACATGTTTGATGATGGTGTCCTTGGCTATTTCCTACTCAAGAACAGTGGTCTTGAACAGAACAGTATGACCTTAATTAGAGCTACAGTGACGAAGCTCGAGCTCAGTTTGGTGGAAGGAGCTTTGAAGAGAACGTTTGGAACAGGACTATCAGGTACGCTGATGGGTTCTTCGGGACTGGGAACATCAGCTATGTCGATTAAACAAGAAGTGATGTACAATCGACACTCTTCAAGCGAGACTGATCAGTCAGGGGACTGTTCCTCAAGAAATCAAGCATCTACATCGCTCACTAGTTCAGATGAGGCAGAGAACGAGACCTTCTACAACAAAGACTCAAAATCGTATGGAAACAGAGGATCATACCATGGTTATAAGGCAGGAAACAGTTTTAGCTCAAGAGGTAACTACAGAGGTAACTACAGCGGTGATTACAGCGGCAGGGGTAACTACCAAGGGAACTACAGCAACAGAGGAGGCAGATACGGCAGCAGAGGGGGTTCCAGCTTCAGGGGAAGAGGAAAGTACAGTATCCAGAACAACCAGCAGAACAACAGGAAGGATCAGAACTTTGTTTGTTTCTACTGCGGGGGTGAAGGACATAAAATTGCAGACTGTCCCAAGAGACTAGCGGAGAAGTCTACGCAATACTTCCAGTCCTTTGCTAACGTCCAAAACAGTGAGACTTTCTTGTGCCATAAGACCTACAACGGTGCCTTGTTGGATTCAGGCGCTAGTGCTACAGTTTGTGGGGAACAGTGGATGACGAAATTTGAGTATTCACTGACGACTAGGGAGAAGAAACTGGTGCAAGAAGAGCCGTGTCATCAAGTGTTCAGATTTGGTGACAGTGACCCCATCATATGTACGACGAGGAAGAACATACCCATAACCATCTGTGGGAATGATATCATGCTATGGACATACGTTGTGGAGAGTGACGTACCCTTACTCTTGTCCAGAACAACTATGTCAAAGATGGGCTGTCAGATAGATTTCCAGAGGAGCGAAATCAAGGTATTTGGACGGACAAAGAAGCTTGTTATAACAGATTCTGGTCACATGATTATCCCCTTCGAAGCCAGAAAAGTGATCAAGTGTGATGAACCAGAACCAAGCCCAAAGACTAAGCCAGCTTCAACTGATCAAGCATCATACATTGTAGATTTGGAGAATAGTAAAAAGACGGCAGAACATCTACACAAGTATTTTGCCCACGGATCTGCTAACAAGATCAAAGAAGTTGTGTTAGAGTCAAGCTTGGAGAAGAAGAGCGAAGTGTGCAAAGAGCTTGATCTGATAGAAAAATCTTGTGATCAATGCCTGAGACACAAGAGTAAGAAGATACCGCATAGAAAAGTTGCTCTACCTGCAGGGAAACCTTTCAACGAAAGAGTTGCGATGGATCTAAAGATGCTTGAGTCTGGGGATACTATTTTGCACATGATCGATTGTGTAACCCGATATGCAATGGCGATCAGCGTAAAGAGCAAATCAGCTAATGAAATACTGGAGAAAATATTCAGAGTCTGGATCTCAGTATTTGGAAGACCTGGTCAGTTCTTAACTGACAACGGAGGAGAGTTTGTCAATCAAGAGTTTAACGAAATGTGCCAACTACTTGACATCGTTATCTCCACTAGTCCTGCAGAATCACCTTTCTGTAACGGTATGGTTGAGCGCCATAATGGCATCCTGGGAAAGATGATAGACTCAACTATGGGAGACACAGGATGTAGCTTGGAAACTGCGATTTCCTGGTCTGTAAATGCCAAGAACACACTGACTAACGTGCAAGGATTCTCCCCAAGTCAGCTAGTGTTCGGCTACAATCCTAGCAACAGCAGCTTACTTGATGAAAGACTGAAGCTATCAGTCCTTAAGACTGAAACTACAAGCAAGTTGGTAGCTAATATGATAAACGCCAGGGATACAGCAAGAAAGAAGTTTGTACAACTTGAGAACACCAGCACCATCAAGAAAGCTCTTACTGAACGTGTGTATGCAGGGAGGAATAAACAGTATAAGAATGGAGATAATGTTTATTTCAAACGTGAGAAAAGCAAGTCATGGCAAGGACCTGCTGTGGTAGTTGGACAGATTGACAACATAATTGTTATCAAGCATGGGGGACTGCTGTATCGTGTCCATCCTTGCAAGATAATAGAGAAGCACGAGGCTGACAGTCAGATTAATGGGGATGCAGAAGAAGGAAAATCTGATCAGTTGGAGGAGCCTGACACAGCAGCTGTCAAACGAATGCTATCAACACTGGATAGTGATGCAGATCCAGATTCTGATAGCAACTACGACATCCTTGAACCCAGTGACTTGGTTCAAGAGCTGGAAGAAGACGAGATTCAAAGACCCTCGGAAGAACAGAGTCAGGTGGGAGTTGGAGGACAAAAACCCTCTGAAAAGCAGAATCAGACGGGAGTTGGAGTTCCCAGAATGAGCCAGAACGCTGCTAAGCCTAATACAGGAAGTACACCTTCGCAATCCAGCGGATGGAAGCCTGTGCCAACTTCTAATGGAAAGTTGAAACTGAAGAAAGATGACGTGATACGGTACAAGAATAGTAATGAAGAAGAATGGAAAAATGGTATCATCATCGGCAGAGCTGGTAAGGCTACTGGGAAGATGAAGAACGAGTTTAACATCTTGACAGAAGATATAGAAGACCCAGAACCCATACTGCTTGATAAAGTTGAGGTTGAGGTACAAGGTACCTACCACCTTGTAACGGATGTTGAAAAGGACGACCCAGCTCTCATCAAGGCTAAAGAGGAGGAGATCAAGAGATTTCAAGAATTCGACGTGTTTGTTGAAGTTAAAGACCATGGACAAACCAGTGTAACGTCTAGGTGGGTCATAACTTCAAAAGGAGATGGAAAGTACAAGGCAAGACTAGTTGCCAGAGGATTCCAAGAAGAACTTAACGGACAGTCCGATGCTCCGACTGTGAATAAAATTAGTAAGAGGCTCATGTTCACAGTTGCTGCATGCCGAAAATGGGAAGTAAAGAGTTTAGATGTAACAAGTGCTTTTCTCCAAGCAGATGAACTCGACAGGGAGATTTTTGTCAAACCACCAACTGACATAAGGAGAAAAGGCATTGTTTGGAAGCTAAAGAAACCACTTTACGGTTTGGGTGATAGTGCTAGAAGATGGTATCTAACTTTAAGAGATAGACTCATAGAGGCTGGATGTGTTATCTCAGTTCTAGATCAGTCAGTATTCAGGTACTATGATGAGAGGAATAGTTTGTGTGGTATCATAGTAACCCACGTTGATGATCTATTGTATGCTGGGAACACCAAGTTCCAGAGAGAGATTATGAGAAAAGTACTGTCATACTTCAAGATATCAAGAATGAACGGAAAAGATTTCACATACCTTGGATGGTCAATAACTCAAGAAGATGGTTACATATCCGTGAATCAGCGAGAATACTGCAAGTCCATTGAGCCTGTAACTGTCAACTCAAAATCACCTAAAGACAGTGAGCGTTTCTTGAATGATTCAGAGAAGACCAAGTATCAAGAAACATTGGGGAAGTTGTTATGGCTAAGTAGTCAAACCAGACCTGACCTCAGCTATGACACGATGGAACTGTCGACCTACACAAGTTCAGCTAAAGTCAAACACCTCAGTATTCTTAACAAGGTCGTTAAGAAAGTTAACTATGGACCCCAAGAGATCAAATATACCGAAATGGATATTGATCAAGGTGAACTGCAAGTAATATTCTACTCAGATGCCAGTTTGGGTAACCTGCCCAACAAGATAGACAGTGGGAGAGGCTATCTAGTCTTTATAGCTACTTAGTCCACATACCTTGCAAACTTACAGCACGGTATTTGTAATGGTCTAAGTTCCTAATACGCGCCAAAGATGGTCCCACTAGTCAATCGTAGGAGGAGAGAAAGCTTAACAACAAATTAGGTGGCTGCATTTTGTTTTGATTTTATTAGGTCTTAGTATTTATCCCCATTTATCCCCATTGTTTTAAAGTTTTAAGAGAACTCTCCTTAAATTATTTTAATGCAGTCACTCAGATAAGTTTATACCAGGACACTTCAACAAAGACACATACTCTGCCCACAATAAGGGGCCATAATTGTTTCAATTATGTAACTGTATAGAATTATTATTATTATTGCTTTAGAATTTTTATTTAAATTTTGAATTGCGCTGATAAAAATGTATGATTGAGACGAATCTTCGAGTAGTTCACTACTATATAGTAAAAAAGCTTATTTTAAATTTCGTTAGCATATCCAATATTCATGAGTTTATTATCGGATGTTTAAGTTTAACTATGTTTATTATGATATTATTATTCATTGTAATATGGCAATAAAATTTAAATTTTGTTTTACTTAAAATTTTGTTTTACTTATCACCCTGTGTTGTTCCTTCCTCAGATTTATTAACGATTTAAATTTAAGTCAAAATTTAAATATAAGTTATATGTATATCTGTTTTGTAAATTATGAACTCTAAGTTGAGTTATAAAATCATGAACTAACTGTTCCTTCCAACTAAAACTAGTTTGTAATATTTAGAACATAATGTCACTGTGGAAGTTGTTTGAAGGGGCCAGGTACTGTGGAGGTGTGTGTGAACACAGTCTCAAAAGATACAAGAGAATAAGAGACAACAGAGATAAGTTGGTGGAACTGGGTTTTATGACACTAGATGAACCACTGGAATGTTACCGGACTAAAGAATGGGAGGAACATACCTCAGCCTACTCACAGTGTAAGTTTAATCTTCATCCGTTAAACAAATAATGAACTAACAATTAATGAACCTCTCAACCTCTGAACTTCTGCTCCAACTTCAAATAGGTTACTGTGATTGATCAAATTATTGCACGATTTTGTGAAATTAGTCTTTGGACACGGTAGTGTCAAAACTCATTTCCGTATTATAAAATAACCATTATCTCATATCGCAGATGAAACATTGCTGAATCAGTATGAAGATGGGTTGATAAAACTTGAGGAGGTTGTTAATATTGATCCCAGAAACCCCGCTGAGAGGTACAGCTCAGACAGTGACAAAGACAGTCCTGTAGTCAATAAGAAGAAGAAATCTCCCAACAAAAAGAAGAAGTCCCAGAAAGGTAAACAAAAGAATGGAAGAGTTGAGACTAAAATGATAAAAGAAGAACAGCTGGATTGTGTGGAATGTGTAAGACAAGTTAATCAGCCTGAAGAAGCTGAAGCTCCTGAAGTAGAGGAACTAGAGATGTTCCTACACTCAGAACCTGAGTCTGTACCAGCATTACAAGATCTACTTGTCAACAAGAATCTAGCTTCTCACCTCGGAGAAGGTCCTGTAGATGTGTGTAAACTGATTGCAGAAAACCCTGAGTTTACACATGAAATATGTGAGGCTAACATAGACTCTCTTATGTCTGATGAGGAGTTCTATAAAATTACTTGTGAGACTTATCCTGGTGGCTGGGAGAAATTCCTGGAGGACATGTTAGTTACATTATATCTTCTTATTTAATTTGATTTAATAGCTTGAATCTTGATCATAATTTATATTTAGTTTTTGAACTTAATAATGTTATGGTATATTTAATGGGTACTACTTTACAGGGAGAATGAAGAGTCTTCAGATGAGGAGATAGATAGAATTGAGCTGCCCCCTGACCTCTATAATGAACTTATGTCAGACAAGAGTAATGATGTACCTGACGATGATGAGGAACAGTATAAGTTTGGTAGAATAAACAAGGACCAGGCAGATACTTGTCTTGATCGAGCACTTGAGTTGTATGATAACTATCACAACATGACTCAGGACGAGTTAGTTTTTAATTTTGGTACTTTGTTGTCTTACACATAAATATACATTTAATTGCTTCTCTTAACTACTGCATAATACATATTTCGTAATTGTAGTTGATTGCATGTTGCTAGTTCATTTTAAATACGACTAACATGTTAATTGTTTATTCCGCAGGTATAACAAAAAAGTGAAGGAAGTGCTCAAAGATATGGATAGAATTACTGTTCTAGATAATGTTGGCGACCATACCAAAGCGAGTACTAACAAAAGTATCATACCACAAAGAAAAGAATATATTGGAACAACACCTGAACATAATGAAAACTTACCCTCTTGTAGCAGTACCCACAACGATACTGAACGTAGTGACATGGTAACTCCAGATAAAAGAAGCAGTAGTTATCATAAGAGTATAAGAGACAATGTGAGAATTGATAACACATCTGGTGTAACAACAGAGTCTAATACCAGCTCCAGCTCTGTAACACAAACAAAGAAACTCCCCACCATACTTAGTAACAGAGAAGTGTACGAGAATATTGACAATATTCCCCGTCCTTCTTATTGGTTACCTGAGTCAGAACCTGACCCTGAGAAGAAAGAAGAAGAGATAGATGATTTTGAGTATCTAGGAATGTTGGATGATGGTTATCTACTGAGCTTGTTCGACGAAGATAAAGAATCAGAAGAGATTCCAAACATTACACAGACAAACATTAGTGTTCCTACAGAAACGACTGCTGAGAGAGATAATATTCAGGAAGACTTTTCCAAGACAGAACTTGAAGCAGCTGCAGGAAAAGCTTCTAAAAATATACGTAGTAACCCTCCTAGAGTTGCTAAAGAGGGGGTTACATACCGTGATGATAACGATAATCTGGAGGAGGTGTTACAGTCTGAATATTGTAAGTTACAATACGTAGAGTTTACTTATTGTTTACTATATGGTATTTTTTGTTTGGTAGCAACAACTGAAATTAAAGTTGATACTATCAGAATTATAATGATCTCTCAGAATTTTACTAAATCTTTGCTTAAATTAAATAGTAATGTTACTGTTTCTTTTACTGTAATAATTCAGTGGATTCTTTTATGAATGATGTTTTTAATGAAATTCTGTTTTTCAGTTTGTTGGCAGTGTAAAGATTATGTGAGGGGAGAATGTGAACTACATGGTCCTTTACTCCCCTGTTTAGAAGACATCACTCAACCGGGAACTAAGAAGACTGCAAACTTCCCAGCACCTAGTTGTATTGAAATCAAGGAATCTACAATTCCCAGGGCTGGAGATGGAGCTTTTGCGTCTCAGTTTATTGAACCAGGAAGTATATTGGGTAAGTCACGTGATTTGCTGGGATCAGCGTTTACTTCTTTTTTTGGTGTCCACTGTCCTTTCTCCAGACAGCAAGTCTATAAATGTTTTGTACCCTAAAGTGGGTTGTTCTGATTTATCTATTTTATCAGGTAACTACAAGGGAAAAGTCATATCAGAAAAGGAGTACAAGAAGTTAGAGTCTTCAGATAAAGAGAGTGGATATGCGTGGAGAGCTGTTAGTCAGGACGGAGATGTTATCTATCTAGATGGGGCTAGTCACAGGGCTAGCAACTGGTTACGGTTTCTTAACTGTGCTCGGGGTCAATGTGAAGAGAATGTCCTTGTTAGAAATATCCCAGGTAAAATTGGGTGCACATATGCGCCAGTTTTCTACGTTTTTACTTATCTATTTACATGAGTTGTGAATATTTCATACCCAAGTATGTTGGGCAGAATCTTTATAAACCTGCAACTGCCAACTTACCATCCACAGATTAAATAAGCTGTATTTTACTTAGGTGTATTCTGGTGATGAAATAACATTGGTTTAGTTAATGACTATTAGTATAAATAAATATTTGTATCGTTGTGCAATGCCTTCTATCATGGAATAATTATTCTAGGTGGAATACAGTATTATTCGTATAAACCAATTGGGTTGGGAGAGGAATTACTAGTTTTTTACGGAGAGGACTATTTCGAAGAGTTAGGGTATTCGTTGCAGACTGATATTGAAAATGGTGAGAACAATCTCTAACTTTATCCCTTAAAATGTAACAAGAATTGCGCCCGTTTTTTCGTTTTGGCGGACGCTAGATTTCCATTTCACATTTACTATACATTTAAGTATAAGCTCCAATCAGCTCACTTCAATCTTCATGATAATAATATTGATAAATTTTACCTGAGGACCCCAGGCTTTAATGTTGGTAAACAACAATAGAGATTAGGCGGAATGACAGGCTGAGCGCGGCCCAGTAATGATAAATTATGCATCAAGTACGGGAAACACTTGAAATTTAGTTCAATTGCCGTAGAACTTAACTTGTATCTGTAATTCAAAAAATTATCAGCAAAGGTAAACTATACTCGTGTACACATCAATACACTACGCGTGCCACGTACAAATTGGGCGTATTACCTAATAGTAATATTATACATTACATGCATCGATCATATACATTAAAACACAGTCGCGCCGCGCATTTATAGATCACAGGCTATCTATACATCACATCTCTGCAAGCAATCCTCGCGCGCGCGCGACTTTTTCGTTGCATGGTAACGGACGGAATGACATCATATAACGAACGAACACACGACATATTTAAACCCACCTATCTCGTTCTCCAAAATCCACGTTTTTCTGCAAAAACCTCCATTCGTAACCTTTCACTATTGCCTTTTTTCAAAAGAGTGAAAAGGAAAAAATTAAGTGAACACGAGACTATTTTTATTATATTGCTGGACAATTCCTCACTTTATTTCAGTAATCTTCCATTAATACAGGTCAACAATATCATTGCACTGCAACTGGTTGTCTTAAGCTGTTTAAGACACAACAAGAACTGGAGACACACACATGTGGGAAGACTCGAGGAGTATCAGGAAAAGAGAAAGTACATAAGTGTGCCACGTGTGGGAAGATGTTTGGTTGGAGGAGTGACTTAACAGCACACATCAGGACAGTACACGATAAGGTAGCGAGACTCAGCTGTCCCTACTGTAAATATAAAACTGATACTCAGCAGCACCTCACATATCACATGTTAACACATACGGGAGACAAACAGTACAAATGTACACAATGTGACTATACTGCTGTTCAGAAGCACCAACTCACTTCTCACATCTACAATAACCACACTAACAAGACATACAAGTGTCGGTACAAGCAGTGTGGCGTTAAGAAACCTTCTGAACAGGAACTATATGATCATATCAGCACAGAGCATCCACTACAACAATACAGATGTGATGTGTGTCCGATGTCTTATAACACAGCAGGACAACTTGAATACCACAAGAGAACACATGGTGATCGTGAGCTAGAATCACAACACGAGTGTAAGTACTGTGGAAAACTGTTTTTAGAATCAGGTACTCTGAAGAGACATGCTCTGACACACACTGGAGAGAAACCATACAAGTGTAGTGTATGTGGTAAGGGGTTCAATAGGAGCATTAATTTAACTAGACACATGATGACACACACAGGCGAGAAACCGTTCTCCTGTTCTTACTGTGATAGGAGGTTTAGGGTAGCTTCTAACAAAAACAGACATGAAATTACTTGCAAGAATAAACCTTGTTGAAGAAATTGTTATTGGTAGTTTTCTTATAGTTTGACGAATTACTTTATCCCTATTGTTTATTGGACTATATATTTTTCTTCTATTAAAAGTTATTTTATAATTCTTGATCGTATTTATATAACTTTAAACCAACATTTGATTAAGATTTAAATTTAAGTTATATTTATTATATCTCTGTTGTAAACTAACTGTTGTTTCCAACTAAATCTACTTTGTAATATTTAGAACATAATGTCACTGTGGAAGGTGTTTGAAGGGGCCAGGTACTGTGGAGGTGTGTGTGAACACAGTCTCAAAAGATACAAGAGAATAAGAGATAACAGAGATAAGTTGGTGGAACTGGGTTTTATGACACTAGATGAACCACTGGAATGTTACCGGACTAAAGAATGGGAGGAACATACCTCAGCCTACTCACAGTGTAAGTTTAATTTTCATCCGTTAGACAAATAATGAACTAACAATTAATGAACCTCTCAACCTCTGAACTTCTGCTCCAACTTCAAATAGGTTACTGTGATTGATCAAATTATTGCACGATTTTGTGAAATTAGTCTTTTAACACGGTTGTGTCAAAACTCATTTCCGTATATAATAATCATCATCTCACATCGCAGATGAAATATTGCTGAATCAGTATGAAGATGGGTTGATAAAACTTGAGGAGGTTGTTAATATTGATCCCAGAAACCCCGCTGAGAGGTACAGCTCAGACAGTGACAAAGACAGTCCTGTAGTCAATAAGAAGAAGAAATCTCCCAACAAAAAGAAGAAGTCCCAGAAAGGTAAACAAAAGAATGGAAGAGTTGAGACTAAAATGATAAAAGAAGAACAGCTGGATTGTGTGGAATGTGTAAGACAAGTTAATCAGCCTGAAGAAGTTGAAGCTCCTGAAGTAGAGGAACTAGAGATGTTCCTACACTCAGAACCTGAGTCGGTACCAGCATTACAAGATCTAATTGTCAACAAGAATCTAGCTTCTCACCTCGGAGAAGGTCCTGTAGATGTGTGTAAACTGATATCAGAAAACCCTGAGTTTACACATGAAATATGTGAGGCTAACATAGACTCTCTTATGTCTGATGAGGAGTTCTATAAAATTACTTGTGAGACTTATCCTGGTGGCTGGGAGAAATTCCTGGAGGACATGTTAGTTACATTATATCTTCTTATATAATTTGATTTAATAGCTTGAATCTTGATCATAATCGTGTTTTAGAACTTTTGCTCGTGTTTCTTTTTGCATAAATATTTGTCAGATTCTCAATGATGTTTTGTTTTTGAACTAAACAATTTTATGATATTATATATTTAATGGGTACTACTTTACAGGGAGAATGAAGAGTCTTCAGATGAGGAGATAGATAGAATTGAGCTGCCCCCTGACCTCTATAATGAACTTATGTCAGACAAGAGTAATGATGTACCTGACGATGATGAGGAACAGTATAAGTTTGGTAGAATAAACAAGGACCAGGCAGATACTTGTCTTGATCGAGCACTTGAGTTGTATGATAACTATCACAACATGACTCAGGACGAGTTAGTTTTTACTTTTGATACTTTGTTGTCTTACACATACAAATTCTATGGCTTCTCATAACCACTGCATAATATATATTTTGTAATTGTAGTTGATTGCATAGTGCTAGTGCATATTAAAGATTGCTAACATGTTGATTCTATATCCCGCAGGTATAACGAGAAAATGAAGGAGGTGCTCAAAGATATGGATAGAATTACTGTTCTAGATAATGATGGCGACCATACCAAAGCGAGTACTAACAAAAGTAACATACCACAAAGAAAAGAATATATTAGAACAACACCTGAACCGAATGACAACTTACCCTCTTGTAGCGGTACACACAACGATACTGAACGTAGTGACATGGTAACTCCAGATAAAAGAAGCAGCAGTTATCATAAGAGTATAAGAGACAATGTGAGAATTGATAACACATCTGGTGTAACAACAGAGTCTAATACCAGCTCCAGCTCTGTAACACAAACAAAGAAACTCCCCACCATACTCAGTAACAGAGAAGTGTACGAGAATATTGACAATATTCCCCGTCCTTCTTATTGGTTACCTGAGTCAGAACCTGACCCTGAGAAGAAAGAAGAAGAGATAGATGATTTTGAGTATCTAGGAATGTTGGATGATGGTTATCTACTGAGCTTGTTTGATGAAGATAAAGAATCAGAAGAGATGCCAAACACTGCACAGACACAAATTAGTGTTCCTACAGAAATGACTGCTGAGAGAGATAACATTCAGGAAGAATTGTCCAAGACAGAACTTGAAGCAGCTGCAGGAAAAGGGTCTAAAAATAGACGTAGTAATCCTCCTAGAGTTGCTAAAGAGGGGGTTACATACCGTGATGATAACGATAATCTGGAGGAGGTGTTACAGTCTGAATATTGTAAGTTACAATACGTAGAGTTTACTTATTGTTTACTATATGGTATTTTTTGTTTGGTAGCAACAACTGAAATTAAAGTTGATACTATCAGAATTATAATGATCCCTCAGAATTTTACTAAATCTTTGCTTAAATTAAATAGTAATGTTACTGTTTCTTTTACTGTAATAATTGGGTGGATACTTCTATAAATGATGTTTTCAATGGAATGCTTATGTTTCCAGTTTGTTGGCAGTGTAAAGATTATGTGAGGGGAGAATGTGAACTACATGGTCCTTTACTCCCCTGTTTAGAAGACATCACTCAACCGGGAACTAAGAAGACTGCAAACTTCCCAGTACCTAGTTGTATTGAAATCAAGGAATCTACAATTCCCAGGGCTGGAGATGGAGCTTTTGCGTCTCAGTTTATTGAACCAGGAAGTATATTGGGTAGGTCACGTGATGTGATGAGATCAGTTTTTACTCCTTTTTTTGGTGTCCACTGTCCTTTCTCCAGACAGCAAGTCTATAAATGTTTTGTACCCTAAAGTGGGTTGTTCTGATTTATCTATTTTATCAGGTAACTACAAGGGAAAAGTCATATCAGAAAAGGAGTACAAGAAGTTAGAGTCTTCAGATAAAGAGAGTGGATATGCGTGGCGTGCTGTTAGCCAGGACGGTGATGTTATATACCTAGATGGGGCTAGTCACAGGGCTAGCAACTGGTTACGGTATCTTAACTGTGCTCGGGGTCAATGTGAAGAGAACGTCCTTGTTAGAAATATCCCAGGTAAAATTGGGTGCACATATGCGCCAGTTTTCTACGTTTTTACTTATCTATTTACATGAGTTGTGAATATTTCATACCCAAGTATGTTGGGCAGAATCGTTATAAACCTGCAACTTACCATCCACAGATTAAATAAGCTGTATTTTACTTAGGTGTATTCTGGTGATGAAATAACATTGGTTTAGTTAATGACTATTAGTATAAATAAATATTTGTATCGTTGTGCAATGCCTTCTATCATGGAATAATTATTCTAGGTGGAATACAGTATTATTCGTATAAACCAATTGGGTTGGGAGAGGAATTACTAGTTTTCTACGGAGAGGACTATTTCGAAGAGTTAGGGTATTCGTTGCAGACTGATATTGAAAATGGTGAGAACAATCTCTAACTTTAGTAGTACGATTTATCCCTTAAAATGCAAAATTAAGTGAACCCGAGACTATCTTTATTATATTGCTGGACAATTCCTCACTTTATTTCAGTAATCTTCCATTAATACAGGTCAACAATATCATTGCACTGCAACTGGTTGTCTTAAGCTGTTTAAGACACAACAAGAACTGGAGACACACACATGTGGGAAGACTCGAGGAGTATCAGGAAAAGAGAAAGTACACAAGTGCGACAAGTGTGGGAAGATGTTTACTGAAAGAGGTACCTTAACTGCACACATCAGGAGAGTACACGATAAGGTAGCGAGACTCAGCTGTCCCTACTGTAAATATAGAACTGATACTCAGCAGCACCTCACACTTCACATGTTAACACACACGGGGGACAAACAGTACAAGTGTACACACTGTGACTATACTGCTGTTCAGAAGCAGCATCTTACTTCTCACATCTACAATAACCACACTAACAAGACATACAAGTGTCGGTACAAGCAGTGTGGTGTTAAGAAACCTTCTGAACAGGAACTATATGATCATATCAGCACAGAGCATCCACTACAACAATACAGATGTGATGTGTGTCCGATGTCTTATAACACAGCAGGACAACTTGGATACCACAGGCGAACACATGGTGATCGTGAGCTAGAATCACAACACGAGTGTAAGTACTGTGGAAAACTGTTTTTAAAATCTGGTGATCTGAAGAAACATGCTCTGACACACACTGGAGAGAAACCACACAAGTGTAGTGTGTGTGGTAAGGGGTTTACTGAGAAATGTACTTTAACTAGACACAAGAGGACACACACAGGCGAGAAACCGTTCTCCTGTTCTTACTGTGATAGGAGGTTTAGCGTAGCTTCTACCAAAAACAAACATGAAATTACTTGCAAGAATAAACCCTGTTGAAGATATTGTTATTGGCAGTTTTGTTTTAGTTTGACGAATTACTTTATAATTATTGAGCTATTTCTTCTTAGTTATAATTGTATAATTCTTGATCGTTTTTTAAATGAGCGATTTTGAAACTAATTGTCTGAAAACTTTGAACAAACATTTAACTGTAGAATAATCGTTTTATTGTCTCTTGACATCAAACTTGACTTCCCTTCCCTCATTCATTTTGGCTAAGGTCAAGTTGTTTTCACTTGGAATTCTTCAGTCATTTCTCTATTCTCCGTACGCTATAAACGGTCCGTGTCGGCTGTCCTGAATTTATTGTTAGTTTACGTGACGCGCAATGTGATTACGCTGATCAAATAGTAAAATTTGACCAGCAACCATGACATAAAAGCGCGGCTCAGTAAAAGTTTCATCTGCGCGTTCTTGATCTTCCTGCTTTTTCAAGGATGATGATTAATCACTCTACACTCGACTGTCACGTGACTTTTTCAACCCGTTCTCTGGCTAGTTCTGAACGGCTTTTCGAAACCCTAACCCTCTAATCTGATCCCAATCCTTAACAAAAAATTATACTGAAACCCTAACCCTAACGAGAAATTAGACTAACTTCCTTATACGGTCATATCACGTGATCGAAACACACTCCTGCGCGCAGTGTTGTGACCTCCCTTCGTCGTAATTAGCTCGCATTCAGATTGAACAATTTTGAAGTCAAATAAATGTTGTTTCTTTTAGATTTGAATAAACAATATGGATGTAGTCCGAAAGTAATTTGTTTACTAAATAACATTTTGAAATTATGAACAAAATTGGCGAAAATTTGCCGTAGATGTGACCAAAAAACTACGCGCAGAACTAAATATTTCTTCATAAACGCGTGAAAATTTTTGAGTTTAACATTGAATATTTTAGCTTGGTTATTGTAATACTTAATTTTAAAGTCTCTATCCGATAACTAAATATTTTATCTTTACGACAGTATAAATTTTGTTTGTATATTTGCTAAATTAAAAAAACAGTAGCAATAGAAACGTCGAAGGTCTTGCGCTTATTTCAGTCCCAAAATATACTCTAATCATAAACTTCATAAAACCCACTGAAAATGATGTCTACAGGCATATTAAGCCCTTACACCTTCCCAAATCATTTAGCAAGGATTCAGAGCCAGTTTTTAAAATTAGCTTTCGAATATCATTGTTAAGACATAAAACTATAAATAAATGAGTGCCTTTTTCTCTTTCGTCTCAATAGTTTCTCTTTCATTTTAACATTATACATTAGTAAAAGCAATCAGCGATCTTTATTCATCATTGAAGGAGTAGAATAATTGGTCCTCGTTAATGTTTAGTGTCTGATTACAGTTTCGGTCCGACCTCCACACCTGAAAAGATATTGGGGGTATTATCAGTTATGTAAATGGAAAAATTATATTTGCATCATAAAACTATGAAAACATTGAAACTAATGTTTTTGAAGGCTCGCCTATTCGTTTAAGCAATCAAATAGTCAGTGCATGCACAGTAAAGAACAGTTGAAGGCACCGGGAATGTTTCAAATATAACCTCTGTCTACTATCAAGTATCAGACCACACACTCCACTGTCCACTATGTACTATAATGTACAATGGCAATTAAAATGTGTTCCCGCCATTTTGCATTTTAAAATGCGCGCATCTTGCGCCGTGACCATGCATGGTCACAGCGCATGCTGGTGAACGAGTTATTGGGACAAAATTGGAACATTTTGGAACATTGGTTACATCGGTTGTAGACATGCAGTGATTCCCAAACTTGGTTTGAGTGGTCCTAGGACCAATCTAAACGCTTACCGGCCAGTTTTAAACCGTTCTGAGCACTTTTAGTTTTAGGAGAATATTAATTTTTGTTCATTTTCGTGCATTCCATGAACCTGGGTAATTTTCATGTTCATTGGAATTTAGAAGGTAAAATAACTCACATAACAGTGCTCCCGACAAGTTTCACGGATATAGTGATTGAGTTTCTAGTCACCTAGCCTCTTGGCCTGAAAGATTTCTTGTTCGGCAGGGTGACTGCTTGAACGTCAACTTCAACCTCTCCCACTGTGCACTGCATCGAATCGAGGTAGAGTTGTTAACTGAAATATTACATTCAGTCTAGCGACCTTTAAATCTGGGTCAAACTTAGTATTTCTGAAAGTTTCGCAAAATTTTATTGATTACAGAGGGTGTGTCACGCCACTCTCTCCTTAAGATCTTGCAGATGTTAGTACCATACCTGTTCATTATAATAGCCCTAGACTATTGCATGAGACAAGCCTTAAGCAAGCACCCTGAAATAGGATTTACCATTAAGCCTTAAAGGAGTAGGAGAGTCAAAGTGGAGAAGATATCGGTCACTGGTTTTGTGGATGACATTGCTCTGATAGCAGATACTGAAAAGGAGACAGAGACGCTGATGCAAGAGATAGAAAGGGTTGCTGCCACAGTGGGACTTAGAATGAATGAAGGGAAAAACTAAATTCATTACTCAGAACATCGAGAACCCTGATACCATCAAGTCTCTGGGTAACCATGCTGAAAGAAAGCCTGTCTCTGAAGAAGGAGAGACGATAAAAACGTGATACGATACGGTATGTTGAAATAAAGCCAGTCTCTGAAGAAGGAGAGATGATAAATACGTGATACGAAACGGTATGCGAAAGCTATGTAGTTGATCAGACTTAAAGTTACGTGTTCTTAAGAGGGTGAGAGGTTCTTTAGTAAGGCCGACTGATTAAATGAGGCTCTGAAATGAACAGGAATCTAGCAATAATAGCATGGAGAGTGGGGAAAATCAAAACGCGGAATAATAATCTAACTCTAAGTTAACGATAAACTGGTACAGAAATCAAAAGTCTAGGAGTAGGAAATAGCTGTGAACCAAACAAACAGAATAGCACCCGTGCATGATATATCAAAATATGTACCGTTCTAGGATGCCTCCGCAAACTTTTGCTCCTCTGTAAATGCACGTGTTAGTGCTGTAGCGAAAGCTATGTAGTTGATCAGACTTCAAGTTACGTGTTCTTATTAGGGTGAGAGGTTCTTTAGTAAGGCCGACTGATTAATTGAGGCTCTAAAATGAACGGGAATCTAGCAATAATAGCATGGAGAGTGGGAAAATCAAAAAGCGGAATAAATAATCTAACTCTAAGTTAACGATAAACTGGTACAGAAATCAAAAGTCCGAACACGGAGTCTAGGAGTAGGAAATAGCTGTGAACCTAACAAACAGAATGGCACCCGCGCATGATATATTAAAATATGTACCGTTCTAGGATGCCTCCGCAAACTTTTGCTCCTCTGTAAATGCACGTGTTAGTGCTGTAGCGAAAGCTATATAGTTGATCAGACTTAAAGTTACGTGTTCTTAAGAGGGTGAGAGGTTCTTTAGTAAGGCCGAATGATTAAATGAGGCTCTGAAATGAACAGGAATCTAGCAATAATAGCATGGAGAGTGGGGAAAATCAAAACGCGGAATAATAATCTAACTCTAAGTTAACGATAAACTGGTACACAAATCAAAAGTCCGAACACGGAGTCTAGGAGTAGGAAATAGCTGTGAACCAAACAAACAGAATGGCACCTGTGCATGATATGTTAAAATATGTACCGTTCTAGGATGCCTCCGCAAACTTTTGCTCCTCTGTAAATGCACGTGTTAGTGCTGTAGCGAAAGCTATGTAGTCGATCAGACTTCAAGTTACGTGTTCTTATTAGGGTGAGAGGTTCTTTAGTAAGGCCGACTGATTAAATGAGGCTCTAAAATGAACGGGAATCTAACAATAATAGCATGGAGAGTGGGGAAAATCAAAAAGCGGAATAAATAATCTAACTCTAAGTTAACGATAAACTGGTACAGAAATCAAAAGTCCGAACACGGAGTCTAGGAGTAGGAAATAGCTGTGAACCTAACAAACAGAATGGCACCCGTGCATGATATATTAAAATATGTACCGTTCTAGGATGCCTCCGCAAACTTTTGCTCCTCTGTAAATGCACGTGTTAGTGCTGTAGCGAAAGCTATGTAGTTGATCAGACTTAAAGTTACGTGTTCTTAAGAGGGTGAGAGGTTCTTTAGTAAGGCCGACTGATTAAATGAGGCTCTAAAATGAACGGGAATCTAGCATGGAGAGTGGGGAAAATCAAAACGCGGAATAAATAATCTAACTCTAAGTTAACGATAAACTGGTACACAAATCAAAAGTCCGAACACGGAGTCTAGGAGTAGGAAATAGCTGTGAACCAAACAAACAGAATGGCACCTGTGCATGATATGTTAAAATATGTACCGTTCTAGGATGCCTCCGCAAACTTTTGCTCCTCTGTAAATGCACGTGTTAGTGCTGTAGCGAAAGCTATGTAGTCGATCAGACTTCAAGTTACGTGTTCTTATTAGGGTGAGAGGTTCTTTAGTAAGGCCGACTGATTAAATGAGGCTCTAAAATGAACGGGAATCTAACAATAATAGCATGGAGAGTGGGGAAAATCAAAAAGCGGAATAAATAATCTAACTCTAAGTTAACGATAAACTGGTACAGAAATCAAAAGTCCGAACACGGAGTCTAGGAGTAGGAAATAGCTGTGAACCTAACAAACAGAATGGCACCCGTGCATGATATATTAAAATATGTACCGTTCTAGGATGCCTCCGCAAACTTTTGCTCCTCTGTAAATGCACGTGTTAGTGCTGTAGCGAAAGCTATGTAGTTGATCAGACTTAAAGTTACGTGTTCTTAAGAGGGTGAGAGGTTCTTTAGTAAGGCCGACTGATTAAATGAGGCTCTAAAATGAACGGGAATCTAGCATGGAGAGTGGGGAAAATCAAAACGCGGAATAAATAATCTAACTCTAAGTTAACGATAAACTGGTACACAAATCAAAAGTCCGAACACGGAGTCTAGGAGTAGGAAATAGCTGTGAACCAAACAAACAGAATGGCACCTGTGCATGATATGTTAAAATATGTACCGTTCTAGGATGCCTCCGCAAACTTTTGCTCCTCTGTAAATGCACGTGTTAGTGCTGTAGCGAAAGCTATGTAGTCGATCAGACTTCAAGTTACGTGTTCTTATTAGGGTGAGAGGTTCTTTAGTAAGGCCGACTGATTAAATGAGGGGGAAGTTGGTCGTTTACCACCTGACAGTCTATGCAACGTCTATGCAACGTCCGTGCAACAACAAAAGAACCGTCTATGCAACGTCTATGCAACGTCCCTGCACAATGAACACTCTATGCACACTCCCTGCACGGTCAGTCTATGCAACGTCTATGCAACGTCTATGCAACGTCTATGCAACGTCCCTGCACAGTACCATATGAACACCGGCTACTAGCCGGCTACTAACCGGCTAGTAGCCACTTTTGTAATAACAGCTCCTCAACTTCACATTAACAACCGGCTACTAACCGGCACTTGAAAAGTGGTCACTAGCCGGCTACTAACCGGCTACTAGCCGGCTAGTGACCACAAAGTGGCTACTAACCGGCTACTAAGCGGTCACTAGCCGGCTATTAGCCGAGCTCTAAAGCAGACCTACTAGTAGCCGGTTCCAAACCGGCTACTAGCCGGCACTTAGAAAGTGGTCACTAGCCGGCTACTAACCGGCTACTAACCGGCTAGTAACCACCAAGTGGCTACTAACCGGCTACTAACCGGTCACTAGCCGGCTACTAACCGGCTACTAACCGGCTAGTAACCACCAAGTGGCTACTAACCGGTCACTAGCCGGCTCTAAAGCGGACCTTCTAGTTCCAAACCGGCTACTAGCCGACACTTGAAAAGCGGTCACTAGCCGGCTGGTGGGTACTAGCTGGTTAGTAGCCGGCTAGTGACCACTTTTCAAGTGCCGGTTAGTAGCCGGTTGTTAATGTGAAGTTGAGGAGCTGTTATTACAAAAGTGGCTACTAGCCGGCTAGTAGCCGGCTAGTAGCCGGTGTTCATATGGTACTGTGCAGGGACGTTGCATAGACGTTGCATAGACGTTGCATAGACTGACCGTGCAGGGAGTGTGCATAGAGTGTTCATTGTGCAGGGACGTTGCATAGACGTTGCATAGACGGTTCTTTTGTTGTTGCACGGACGTTGCATAGACTGTCAGGTGGTAAACGACCAAGTTGCCAAATGAGGCTCTAAAATGAACGGGAATCTAGCATGAAGACTGGGGAAAATCAAAAAGCGGAATAAATAATCTAACTCTAAGTTCTCCACTACCTGAATATTGATCGGGAACAGGTTAGCCGCGTATGTGGAAAGAGTGAGTTAGATTATAGGTAACAACGGGTAGTCTCAAGCTACCCGTCTTTGCACCGTAACTTAGCCATCTGATCTAGAAGAGGAAGGGAGGTTATCATCTACACATACTGTATTAGGAAGTTAATCGTGTCCTAGCTACAGATCATACCTTATTAAGAAGTTTATCATATCCTGAAAAAAATACCTTATTAGGAAGTTTATCGTGTCCTAGAAACAGGCCATATAACAGAATTATCACTTTCTCCTCCTCCCAATCCACAGTATTCCGGAGTTTCTGCAACGTCACTAAAACTGCAAAACATTGTAAGTTCATATGTAGATTCTATAAAAGGTTTGAATTAAAGCAGAGAGGTTAATAAGCACTTATCATATTTAGATTATAGTTCAGTCAGTTTTTTTTCGAGACGCCTCCATGAACCACCACGGGGCGACCTGCCCAGTAGTAAGAGCTGCCCAGTAGTAAGAGCTGCAGGAAATCACAAAAGCAATGAGGACTGTTGAAATTAAATGACTTTTGTCATTTATGGGTGCTTGTATAATAATTTTACCGCAAGATTTTGATAATCTTTGTAATAAACTAGTGCAATGATTGGACAAGTCACAATCAACAATGATAAAAGTGTTTTATATAAAATAACCTAAAGCGAGAATGTCGTTAGTTAACTATAAAATACAGTACCAAGCGATGTATTAAAGTAACACAATTATACTCGTTCTAATTGATATTAGCTTACTTTGATTCAACGAAAACCTACCTTTTATCTGCTTTCGTGAAATTCAAAAGTGATGTTAAAGTAACACGAGCCCTTTAAAGCTTGCAGGGGTTCCTCCTATTATCGTTGATCAATTATGTACCAAGTACACTATGTAATACAGCAAAGTCGTCAGTCGATAACTGCTGTTAAAGCCATGAAAGTTCAAAGCGAGTGCAGAAACAAGAAATGGCGCGAAATCATAATGTTCAAGCCACACGTACAACGTATGATCTGCATTATGCTCCTTCATCAACTAATTCTAGTTTTAAACGATTTTGACACGCTAAAATGCGCGCGTGGATTTGCGCGGCGCGTAGAAAAATTTTAAAGCTGTCGGATAGAGGTTAATAAATTTTTTTACTGTCAACACAGCCCAAGTTATTCATGTTTTAATATCAAAAAATGTCCAATTTTTTTGTATTATTTTTAACTAATTTCCTTTTCAAATCGCTGCCACATCAAAATTATTTAACGAAAGTACATTAAATTTTCACAGAAAGCAAGCATAATCGTTTTAGAACTAAATTAAAAAAGAATTTAATATAAAAATGTTAAAACTTTAAAATTATCGATGGAATAAATTGCCAACGTCCAAATATGTGTAAAATACGACGAAGGGAGGTCACAACACTGCGCGCAGGAGTGAAACAGTTTTTCGCCAATATCTCGTCAGGAGAGCATTTTAACCCTATGTCATGGGGGGTGATTCGGAATCAGCGTCCGAAAATACATCGATTGAAGTTGGTTACAACCGTCGGGGCCCTTTTAGAACAAGTTCTCGAAGATCGACTGTAGAGTGATTTAGCACGCTCGCTTTTTCAACGCGTGAATTTATAGGTTTATACTTTATAACCGATAACCTACCGTGTCGTTACCGGGTCTTACTACTCACTACTGGACAGATATATTCACGTTTATCACTCTTGAAAGGGAAACGAATAATAGATTCTGAAATTAACCCGGTATGGTGAGCAAATTTGTATTCATATAATATATATATATATATACGCGAGTTTAGAGAAGCGGGCCATCAGACTACGCTGCACCAAGGTAATTCTGAGCGTTGGCACTGGGCAATGACTATTTGTAAACTTCTTTTTTAAAAAAAAGAGAGGCTGGGTGTGGCCTGGTTATGGTTAAGGTTGGCCCACGAGAGGATAGCATATGGATGCTTTGCTTACCTCTGGGGTATGGCATTGACCATTGTCAATTGTTAATGGTCTGGCCCGGCGCGCGCTACTTCGTAGCACTTGCCATATTTCGAGAAGAAAGCGGCGCGCGCTATTTCGAAGAAATTTAGACGAGTAACATCCGTCAAGGTATGGCAGTCCTGTGGGAGGATGCCGGTGGAATCAAAATGTGTAATCAAGGATGATGGTAAGTGTTGTGGGGTGTGTCTAAGATGAACTCTTAAATGGTGGTTGAGTGTGGAAGAGACCCTGCGGTTTCTTGGCGTTCGCGACTATACCCGTTTGCGATGCCACTGTGTGGACGTAGCTGTGATAAATCTTACATCCTCTTAAAGTACATGCTCTAACTCGGACATCGCAAGCTTAATCAGTTCTGGGGACTGTTCCTGGGTAGAGTTATGAAGGTTTAAAGCTTTCGTGCCGCGCAATCGCCCCAAAATGGCTAAAAATTTGCACCGTCGAAGAATAACTTTGCGCAGGGAATGCGCAAGGTCTACAATATGGTAGTTAATATTGATTTTCGACCTCCAGCAGGATAGCCTAGTTCGCTAAGCAGGCGATTGGCTGTGGTAGCTGAGGGTTCAAATCCCTGTCTAGACTTTAATTTTGTTTTAACTGAAACAAGTTTTCAACAAAAACTTTCTAGTGTTTGGTTAATATTGATTAGTTAATTATATTAAAAGTTATACTCTAGGATGAAATTCATAATTAGAAATGGCAAAGCAGCTATAACTATAAGTATAATACGCAGAGCATCATTATACTAGAGTTTTATAGAAATAACATTGTCTGTCTCTGATTATTTTTAAATACAAGTAACAGACGTGACCAGTATTGCATCTGCATCGATTAGTATTCAGTTCGGAGTCGTCGATATCAGCTATTACATAGATTTTAAATTGCTGCTATAGCTGCAGATATGATTATGAGCAGTTTTTATCAGTCTGATTTGGTCCGTTTTGGGCTGGGCCCAGTTTGCTAAGGATTCTGTTTCTATCTGGTGTAAAACTTGGTATGCTGCGAAAAGAACATTCTGAAGGCAGAAAGCTCTGGATTGGTCTTTAAGTGCCTCTCTCAACGACAATCCCTCTTTAGCAGTTACTAATACTTGATAGCTCTATTAATTCTGCCTGTCACGGTGGGAAAGGAAGGTCAAGACTGCTTGTTTTATAACTTTTTGTTGGGACTATTGACATGTAGTGTTTGGAGAAGGAGGGTAACGAAGGAGCACTTCTTAGTTGTCCACATCTGAAACAGATTTTAATAAAAGGAACTAAATAATAATACGGTTGAGTAAAATCAAATCTGAGACTTGAGTGGCGAGTGCAGTAGGGAAAGAAAATCTATAAGTGCATCTCAAACTGCCAAACTTACTGTTGAAAAATACTGTTTGACTACACTTCAATCCACCAGCCTCTCATCATTTTCAATGTGTGAAGCAGCTGGCGTGAGTTTCGTGGAATTCGTGAAAATCTTCGATAATGCCAGCCTCCAGGAGTTGCTTTTATTTTAGGGTCCTCTCAGAGCTTTAGAGGTTATCGATATTCCAGATTATGTCTGCTTTGTTGTCTGTACTTCCGGGGGTTGTATAAACCTGAGAAATTTAACAGTTCAATACCAGAGAGAATGCTGAAGACTTTGAAAGTTCTGCCAAAATGTTTATTTTCTGTACACAAATCCGAATTTGTCTCTTTAGTGGCGATTTTAGACAAAATTGACCTTCTTTCGGACTAAACTTTGAAACTGAATTGAAGTTTAAACGATTACCTCTAGAATGGTATTAATGAATTAACAAATTTATCATCAGAAGTCAAGTTATGGTCGATTTTGGAAGCTTGGATATGCTAAAATTATTAATTACATATTATTATGCGCGGCTCGGTTATATTGCGCGCGCGTGGTCGCTAGGCGCTAGCGCAAAAATTGCTTACATTTTTTTTTCCGTTCGGCAGAAAGACAATCGTGACTGACAAACATGTAGAAAACTCACCCAGAACTTCTAGCATATTCTTTAGGGCGGGAAATACTTTGTATGCAGAGTCTGTGATTATCCCGCCAAATCCGAATTTCTTCCTAATAACACATCACAAAGGCGCGTTCACAATTTTTGCGCGTTATAAACAGCTAGATTCCTTTTAAGTCGTTCTATAGTTAATCTCACTAATTCAAAAGGGGGAGACTGATTGGAGAAGAATTGAACCTTTGGTTTCTTCACAAGTAGAAGCACTAAGAAAACACCCAAGTTGTCCATGATAGAGACAAGAAACAAACTTTGCAAAGCAAACTAAACATGCTGACAGCAAATATAACTGAGAAGGAACCACTGATCACCAAGAACAAACCCAGGGTAACATATTGGTACTGTCGAACTAGAAGGACCAGCTGTTTCACTACTATCTAAAGACCCTAAATTTGCGTTGCTAAACAACAGGGGGGGGGGGGGGGTTCAACTACATTTTTGTACATGTACATTTGGCAAAAATCTTATGGCCATGTACATAAATGTACAAAAAATCGGAAATCCCTGGAAACGGATTGAAAAATTTCCAAAACGTGTTTAAAATGCTAACAATGCTAGTACATTATGCAAAAACAAAGCTCGTACTAGGGTATCAAGTGGCTAGGGTACTAAGTGGCTAGGGTACTAAGAGCTGCAACAACTAAGCAATTGTGGTCAGGATAAACTAAGGACTTCATCCCTCAATTATATATAAAGGCTGTAGTCATGTGCAGTTAATACTAACAAATAAGCAATAGGTGTGTGTGTGTACTTTATGTGTGGCATGTGTGTGAACCAAAACACAATAAATTCAGTCAAACACTGCACTGTACAAAATAATAGTTCATCTGAATACTGTATAACAAATAACAAATAATTTGAGGTGTACTATGGTAGTCCGATAGACGTACACCTGACATTAGGCTATCGGTGAACACAGGGACCACATCATACGTGTGCCCTGCTGAACACAAGCTTTAGGATCAAGTTAGTTTCCCGTTGAGAAGCTCCCTTTGTGCTTGATCCATCCAAGTGCCTAATATGGCAATGCAGCTCTCTATTTTATAGTTCAAAGTCAAAAGTTGAACTATTTACTGCTGTACTCCTCATTTCAGACTTGTGGTAACAGTGGTAACAGCGGAACACTTGAAGAAACAATTTCAGCAGCCGGGTTGTCCAGGTGAAATCTTCTCCCAAGTCCAGGTAACCCGTGCTGTAACTGTTGTGTTGTGTGACGCTACTACTACTATTGCTTCTGAATTCTGATAACTTCGGATACCTCTTTCTACACTACAACCTCACATCACGATGTCAACCATCGAGAATCTGAGTGACAAGATAAAGAGTGTCATCGGGAGACTGCTGAAGGATGCCGACCCTATTTCGAAACGAGTACTCACTGTATTTGATCCTTCCCTGGATTCTTCTGTCAAAATCTCTAAACTGGCCAAGGTCAACAGAGGCGAGCTAGACGCTCTTGGAAATTACCTTAAGTTGCCTCTAGTTAGCAGAGGATTAAAGAAGAAACTTTTCAGCTCACGAGAGAAACTAGCTAAACGGATTGTGTCAGAGATCATTTCTCACGACTGTGAAAACTTCACAGCCCAAATGGAGCTTTACGAAAGTCTCCCAACCCAACTCAGTGGTTTGGTATGGTTATGCTCAGACTGCATAGCAGTCAACAAAAACAACAACATTGGGGAGTGTGATGAACCACCGTCTGGAATGGGAACGCCAGGTCACACTAAGGAAATCAACCAGGCTCGACCAGATACCAACACTTCGCTAGAAAACAGCACTAATCAGAACAACGGTGCTGCAAGTCTTGAAGTAGTGAAACTGGCTGAAGAGTTGGAGAAAATCAAGAAAGAACAGGAAAAGTCTGCCAAAAATCCGATTTTACTATATACTAGCAGTCTCGAGAGTAACAATTATCACACTTATTTCAAGATATCTCCGCTTCTGATTGGAGCTAAGCGCTCATCTTGAGCATTATTATGGTCAGAATTATCACATTGAGTGGGGTGGAGCATGGTTTCAAAGTCTTCAGACTTCAGGTTGTTGAGTTATTAGTTCAGATCCCATTTTTACGCTCTCGCGAGTAGCGATTGATGCTACTGATATATCAGCTTCTGATTGGAGCTAAGTGTTCATCTTGGGCATTGAAATGGTCAGAATTATCACATTGAGTGGGGTAGGGCGTGGTTTCAAAGTCTTCAGACTTCAGGTTTTTGAATTATTAGGTTAAAACATATTTTTACACTCTTGCGAGTAGCGATTGACACACTTATTACAAGATATCGCAGCTTCTGATTGAAGCTAAGTGCTTATCATGGGCATTGAAATGGTCAGTATGGTCATATTAAGTGGGGTAAAGCATGTTCCTAGTGCTAGAGGTTTTAGTGAAATTTTACTGATATTTTACTGATATTTCTTGGCAAACAACTTTTTCCTGGCGATTAATTACAGTTCATCCAATAAATATTTTCAACATTGCAGTAACCATTCTTGCGAGAGCATAAAAATAGGGTTTAACCTAATAATTTAATAACCTGAAGTCTAAAGATTTTAAAACCATGCTCGATTCTACTTAATTTGATATTTTAATGCCCATGATGAACGCTTATCTCCACAACTCCACTCAGAAGCTGAGATATCTTGAAATAAGTGCATCAATCGCTATTCGGGGGAGTGTAAAAAGGGATCTGACCTAATTTATATAACTCAACAACCTGAAGTTTGAAGACTTTGAAACCATGCTCTACCCAAATCAATATGATGATTCTGACCATTTTAATGCCCAAGATGAGCGCTTAGCTCCAATCAGAAGCGGAGATATCTTGAAATAAGTGCATCAATCGCTACTCGCGAGAGCGTAAAAATGGGATCTGACCAAATAACTCAACAACCTGAAGTCTGAAGACTTTGAAACCATGCTCTACCCAACTCAATATGATGATTCTGACCATTTCAATGCCCAAGATGAACGCTTAGCTCTAACAGAAGCTGATAAATCTTGAAATAAATGCATCAATCGTACTCACGAGAGCGTAAAAATGGGATTTGACCTAATAACTCAACAAGTACAACCTATAGCTCCAATCAGAAGCGGAGATATCTTGTAATCTTGAAATAAGTGTGATAATTGTAATGATTCCTTTACAAAACTTAGCAAGTGCTATTAACAATATCCTAATGGATCATGGAAATTGAAATGTTCAATTTTCTTTTCATAAATAATAATTTTTCATCGAATAAAACTTTTTTGTCTCTAAAATAGGCTCAGAAAACTAGATTAATTTACATCATTTTACCTCATTTCACCTCATCCCAATTTTGTCTTTTTTGGCTGCCCGAATGAGGTAAAATGAGGTTGACCCCCCCCCCATCATGCACCTGTACACCGTTGTAACATTCCATGCTTATGAATCATGTGTAGTATATTTACTATATAGTACATTTACTGTGTATATTTATGTTTAGTACTTGTAGTAGGTTTAGGATTGCACGGTATTTACTATAAAATAAAAGTTTGTCGTCATATGAACTAATTTGTTATGAATTTTTGTTATGACTTTTATATAAGGCCCACTGTCACTCAGGCGTGAGGTTCTGGGGCACATCACTTGAGCGACTAATGGATCAGAAGTTTTACTCCACGTTTTAGAGTCCGAGTAATTATCAAATATTTAGTCAGAACTTTCAATGAAAGGAAAAAATCATGAAACTAAATAATAATACACGATTAAACCAGATTGCTATTGTGTATTCAATACGGTTATTATCACCTTAGTATCCTTGTTTCCTACATGTGTAATAACTCACCCAAGAGGGATATAGCAATCAGAACTGTTGGAGTATTCCAATACCGCCAGAATGTGTCGCCATACACTTTACTACCATTTATAACCTAAGAAACATGTAATTTAGAAAGGACTAGGATTAATAACTCATTAGATTCGAAATAATGGCGCATAATAAAATCGAGTATCTTATTGGGTTATTAAACTAACTTGCGTTAAACTTCACTAAAATTTTATAATCCAAGGGTATTTAGGGTATCAACATGAATAATAACAGGATTACTGTTTCATCTGGTTTAAAATGTTAGATCAGCACAAATTTCTAATTAATTAACGTTTTTATATCTCTCAAGCTATATTTATCACAAACAGAAGTGAGTAACTGTTTTATGCTGTTAAATCTGATATAGACACTAGTACATTGAACTTCCTCTGAACTTCGATTTTTTAAGGTGTGATAGACCTCATGATAAGGGAAGAGGGGGATGTGGTATATTGATTAACCAAAGTGTCAATTACAACTTACTCAACTTAGATATAACATACTCTGATGTATAGAATACTTTGTTAACCAAAAACTTACCCATTATGTTGAAACAAATAAACTACTAACCAACCATCAGTATGGATTTAGGAAAGACCATTCAACCACTTTCCTTATGCTTAATCTATTTGACAAAATATTTATGTCTAAGGAATCGTCGAAGAAACCTGCAATTGCATTCTTGGACATAAAAAGGCTTTTGACACACTAAGCCATAATATTCTATTGAGAAAAACTTAAGTATTATGGCGTGGATGGCTTTGTCATTAAGTGGTTTTAAAGCTACCTTGGAGGCAGAAAACAGTGCACCAAAATACGTGGTAATGTAAGTAAACTGCTTCCTGTAAACACAGGTGTGCCACAGGGCAGTATATTAAGTCTATTCATAAACGATCTTAACTTATAATTTATTACCTACTATATGTTTTGATTCTATGTCCTTAGAAGGGTATTCTTCTAACAGTTTTTGACTGACTTGAATGTACTGCACAGCATCTTGAAGCTTCTTTAAATTATTTTTATCCTTCTTGAATTTCTATGTAAATTTCCCAAATTTAATTCTAATTCTAATTCTAATTGTAAACAATTCTCAGAAGTTCATATTGTGGTTAATTTTTTCCCACTGTTTTCACTGCCTTGTTCAACAGCCTAGCAAGTCATATATCCCTTTTAACCAATTTTATGACAACATTTCTCGATAACTTTTATCAAAACCCTTGAAGTGTCCTTTGTTGACAATAAAATGTTCAAGACTAAAACCATGGAAACATGTGCGAACTTAAAATAAGGTTTAAATGCAAATTTGTATGTAACTGTAAGTTGTAACAGAGCTTTTCATAGATCGAAGTAACGAAATATAATTATAAGTTATAACTGATTAGTAAATACCTCATATTTGTAAAATAATCTGAAGAGTAAGGGCTATCTGCTGATGTATGTTGAGGTTGCCTTTCACCGTGTTGAGTGCCGATCTTTTTTTCATTCTTATTGAAGATCTATTGATTTTGCAGTGAATTAAAATAACTTAAGTTTTCATGCCACGTTAATCTTAATTAAATGTGTTTAACAAGGACATGAATGTATTTAAATCCCAAAACTGAGTTGATCCTGTAAATCAACACCCAACGGTTCTCAACTTATCGTAACCAGCTGCACACATACATTTTTGAATTCTGTAATTTCGATATTCAGAAGTAAATTTATGACCCGTCGAAAAATTTTGATTTCATCATAAAATACACATAAAATTTCTTGACACCCTGCTGTACATGGTCTGAAGTTAAAGGAAATAAAATTAAAGAATGTGTAACAATCCTTCGACAGATTATAACTTTGTTTTACTGATGAAATATAAATTAAAATCCGTTTTAACTGGATTTAAATCACTGAAGCTGCAAAGACTTTACATTCCAAACTAACGAAAGATGACTACATTCATTTCAGCGGACTCTAAAAAAATTAAATCACGATTTGCAATTTCAGCTACAGCTGATTTAGAGAGTGAAGTTTGTGGCAATAGTTTAAATTCGGACCATCTAAAGTCATTCCAAAGGCCCTGTAGCAATACTTGACAATTTTCATGAAACCGAAATCAAACTATCGTTTTGACTCGCTAAGTCAATTGAAATAATTATTGAAGAAGAAACAACTTAGTTAAAATGAATTTAATCAAATTTGTGTTTGACAAAACAGGTTTTAAATTCGTTGGTACTACACAGCTACCAACACAATTTTGTAACTTCGAAGCCAAAGTTATGCGGAGGGTAGTCTTCAACGATTGCAGATTGTAAAATCTAGCAAAACACGCGCCCCTCTGAAAATAAAAAACCCATCTTGGACTAAAATTCAACGAATGATACATGCAGTTAATATCAAATCATTATTTCACAAAAGTTATGTTCAATACTAATTATAAGAAAAATAAACTGGGTAGAATTTATGGCATTTAAACGGTTGTTATAATGACGAAATGCCGTACAAATCGGCGCGTGGCTCTGTGTTTTCAGTTTACTGATTTATACATTATAACTTAAATATGATCGCAGAAAGAATATTTGCTACCTCCCTTTTGATGCAAAACAATTGAACCATATATTTATATAATTATAATGTAATGTAAGAATGATACTTGTATCAAATATATATCATATTACTACCATATTTATCAGCACACAACACTGAATTGAACGCCGCGCGTATTTGACGGTAACAAATAACATTAACATAAACTATTATTACTAATTAATTCTAATTATAAATTGGCTCATCATACAAAATAATCTAACAACACAATATAATATTAAGTTGTAAGTGTTGACACATAATTGATCGCTATTCTATTCATATTTCGCGCGGCGCAAGCGACCGTCCGTTAACACACTCGCTGCTTATAATGTATGCGTCTATTGCATCATTAATGGAAGGCGCGCCGGTGAAATTTTTGCGCGCGAATTTACGATTTAAACGAAAAGAAACTGCAGGGGAGAGGCGAACTAGTCAATCTAGATGACACAGTCAGCAGTATTACCAAACTTCATAAGCAGCTGGGTCATTGTTCAGCAGAGAATCTGAAAAAGATTACCAAAAATGCAAACGTACAAGGTGAAAATGTGAACAAGGTGATTGATCAAGTGCTAAAAGAATGTGATGCCTGTGCGAGATATAAAAGAACACCCTCCACACCAGTCGTTGGATTACCTATGGCAACGAAGTTCAATGAGGTAGTAGCTCTTGATTTGAAACAATTTACTGGAATCAATGGTTATGTGATTTACATTGTTGATATGTTCTCAAGATTCTGCAAAGCTAGGGTGATTTCCAACAAAAAGCCAGAGACAGTAATAAAAGCTTTTACTATGGAATGGATTGCAGCAGGTATGGGACCTCCAGGAAAAATATTAGTGGACAACGGAGGAGAATTCGCAAACAATGAACTTAATGATCTCAGTGAACAACTCAACTTTGAAATTTGTGTTACCAGTGCCTACTCACCTTGGTCAAATGGCTTATGTGAAAGAAACCATGCTGTGGTTGACAAATCAGTGCTTAAAATGATGTATGACGGTTTTCCATTGAAGATAGCACTTGCATGGTCAATCAATGCCAAGAACACACTGTACAATGTCAGTGGATTTTCTCCAGTGCAGATAGTGACAGGTCAGAATCCAAACTTTCCTGGGGTATCTTACAACTTGCTACCTGCTAATGAAGGAGCAGATGAATCATTATCAAGCGACATTCAAAGGAATCTTAATGCAATGTATCTAAGCAGAAAAGCATATCTAGAGGCAGAGAATTCAGAAAGAGTTAAAAGAGCTTTGAAAAGACCCTTACGAGATATCAACCAAGACTTTATGATTGGTGATGTTGTATTCTACAAAAGACCTAATATTGAACGCTGGAAAGGACCTGCCAAGATAGTCGGCAAGGAAGGAAAGACTCTTATACTGAGGCATGGAGGACTGCTTATCAAAGCAGCAAGCTGTAGAATTGTGAAACGAGAATATATAGTGAGTGACGAGCACAACCAAAACAATGATGATATCTTGGAAACAGAGAATAGCCAACATGATGAAGCAGTCAATCTTAACGATGATCAGTTTGATGAAGCTGCTGAAAACATAGAAGAAATGCCTATTCAATTTCAAGTGCCAGTGGAAACAGAGGAAATACCAACAGGACAAGAAATTATGAGCTCCTCTCCAATACTTGAAATAGACTCTAAGATAATTTCCAATGAACAAAAACAACAACTCAAGATTAAGTATTTGGAAACTAGACTTCAGAAAAACGATGTTTCGGTCGGAGATACGGTGAAACTTGTTAAAGAAGGAAAAGAAAATGAATGGGAGACATGTACCGTGACTCAAAAAGGAAAACGGCTTGGCAGAAAAGATCACTGGGTGAAACTTATGACAACCCAAGGTGAAGAAAAGCTGATAGATTGTACAAAGACGGCTATGTACAAAGATGATGCTGCTATTGATGCAGAACCTGGAGACGATCACGAAGAATGTAATGTTGTGTCAATTCCCACTTCCAGACACAATGAAGATGTGGTTATTAAGGCTAAAGTTATTGAATTGACTAACTGGAAGCAGAGAGAAGTATATGATGAAGTCAAGGATTGTGATCAGAATGTCATTACAACAACTTGGGTAATAACAGAAAAACCCAGCACTAAACTTGGAGTTAAAGCCCGGTTAGTAGTCCGTGGATTTCAAGAGCAAAATCAGTCGATTGAAGTGGAGTCACCTACAGTATTCAAAAACACTCTCAAGGTTGTACTTGCTATAGCTGCAAACCAGCAGTGGCAACTAACAACGATTGATATCAAAGCTGCCTTTCTGCAAGGAAATAAAATTGAAAGAAATGTTTATGTCATACCACCCAAGGAAGCTCATGTAGAAAAAGGTTATTTGTGGAGATTGAGAAAGACAGTGTATGGTTTAAATGATGCGGCAAGAGCTTGGTTTATCAGTGTGAAGGGACTTCTTATCAACCTTGGTTGTACTCAATCAGTGTTAGATCCTGCTTTGTTCATATGGAGAACTAGTACTGGATTCGAAGGAATACTTGTGCTTCACGTTGATGATTTCTTAGTAGCTGGTACAAAGTCATTCTTTGATAGAGTTGTAAAAGAACTGACATCAAACTTTGAAGCTGGTAAAATATGCAAATCAAAGTTCAATTACATTGGTCTATCAGTTGAGCAGACAGAAGACGGTATCCTAGTGAACCAACATGAATATATCCGAGATCTAGCAGATGTCATCAATGATAAAGAACATGAGATATATCATCTGTCGACTGACAGGAAGCTTAGAACAATATGTGGTCAGTTGAACTGGGTAGCTGCTCAATCACGCCCAGATTTGTCATTCATGACGTATAATTTAAATGTAACAAAGAGTGTAGATCCAGTAGAAGCTGTTAAGAAGGCCAATAAAGCATTCAGACGGATGAAAGAGCTCAACGGTTGACAAGGTGTCCACAGGAAAAGGTCATCTAATAGTCCTAATGAATGAGGAAGGAAAGATATCACCGTTATCATGGGGAAGTCATAAATGTAAACGAGTTGTAAGCAGCACCTTGAGCGCAGAGACTTTGGCATTCAAAGATACATTAGATCATGGAGTGTATGTCTCTCATCTGATAAGTGAGATCTACTTCGATCAATTTGATAAGTCAATGGTTCCAGTAATAGGCTTTACAGACAATCAATCATTAGATAAAGCTTTGCGATCAAGTAAACATGTTGAAGAAAAGAGGTTGAACGTTGATCTGGCTACCATTAGACAAATGCAGCAGAAAGATGAGATTGAAGTAAAATAGGAAGAGGGAGCTAAACAGCTTGCGGATCCCTTTACTAAAATAACCAGTAACAGTGATAAACTTTTAGTGATGCTAAATAAAGGAGAAATTGTTTCAATTTAATTGGTATTTAATGGTTTTTTAATTAGTGGTAGGTTTTGACGCCAATGAAACAGTGTGCATTTGTTTTTTTTAATTGTTTATAATTTGTTTATAATTACGAGTGACGATGAGTTTAATGTATAATTAACCTTTAACCAAAAAAAAAAAAAAAAAAAAAAAAACAACAACAACAACAATCCGAAGTCCCGGTGACACTTTGTCAAGAACAGCTTATTAAAAGAAAAAGACAATCCGAAGTCCCGGTGACACTTTGTCAAGAATCAGCCCATCAAAAAAAAAAAAAAAAAAAAAAAAAAAAAAAAAAAAAAAAAAAAACTAACAATATTTACAGGGTTTCACAAGGAATTGGTACCTGTGCATCTCTGCTTTGTTTTTGGATCTTGTGATCTCTCTGTGGTAGTGTGGCTCTCCTCTTGGCTAGTACCTACTCTCACCTTGCTCTCAACGTGACAGACTACTTACTTTCTCCTGCTATCTATGGCCGTTGTGAGAACGGGATACAGACTATGATTAGTACAGTGTAAGAAATTGAAAGGACTGAAAGAATTGAAATGA